CAATTATTCATAAATCATAAGTCTCAAGAGACTTTTGGGAACTTGGGTCCAAGTTAAAAAAAAAAAAAGAAAAGAAAAGAAAAAGAAGCCCATGGCTACACTAGTGAGAGCAGACCACACACCCAAATCTAATGCCGGACCTCTCCACTCTGCTCCAAAGGCTGAAAAGCTGCCTCAGGAGTGCACACCTTGAGACAGCCAAAGGCTTTGAGGCATGCTTTCAGCCTTGCTGGCTATTAGAGTGAACTGCTGTGCTGAGAAAAACAGCCAGCCTCTGGAGGCATCCCCGGATTTCCACTAGGCTGGCAGAGCCTATGTAGAAGTCACTGCATACTACAAACTGCTCCAAACAGCTTCAAGCACTAGACTTGATGAAAGCTGGTGTGAACCAGTCTCGCTGATGGAATTGCTCTCTGTCTCTTCAGCTGGGTCAGCTAACCACATGTTTCTGGTGAATGCCCCATTGTCTGAATCCCCTCCTGGCCTTTGACTAGCATTCCAGCCATCCTGAACCCTGATAAGGATGCTCTAATTTCAGCAGGAAGTTACAGAAGAGGGTACATCACCCTTTATCCTCAAAAGGCTAGAATGTTCGGTCAAAAGACAACTCACTGGCATAAGGGACAAAATGGCTACAGAATACCTATTGGCATGCCGGAAAAAGTACCTGTTAAAACCAAATAGACCCAGGTCTGTTGTGGTGAATTAAATAAGTTTGGCCCCCATAGACTCATGTGTTTGAATGCTTGGCCCATAGTTGGCACTATTAGGAGGTGTGGCCTTGTTGGAGTAGCTGTAGCCTTTTTGGAGGTAGTTTGTCACTGTGGGGGGTGGGATTTGAAGTCTGATAAGCTAAAGCTATGGCTAATGTGACAGTCTCCTTCTAGCTGCCTTCAGATCAAGATGTAGAACTCTCAGCTCCTCATATTCCCTGTCATATTTAGTCCATAAACCTCTGAAACTGTAAGCCAGCCTCAATTAAACATTTGCCTTCATAGCATTTGCCTTGGTCATGGTGTCTCTTCGCAGTAATAAAACCCGAACTAAGCCATCTATCAACAGGTAGATTCATTATCTGAAACAGTTTTATAATATAATTGGCCACTTGACCTGCTCTATGTGGACCAAGAAGGTTATTGTGTGGGTTTCGGAGAAAATTATTGTTTCTATTCAAACCATTCAGAAACCATTAGACATAATTTGGCTATACTTAAAAAAAATAAAACACACATGCACATGCACGTGTGCACACACAGAGAGACCTGAGATGAAATAAGTGCCTGGTTCCATCTGGGTACCATTAAGCTGATGGTTATTAGATCCCAGCATAAATACGTACCCACCACAGAGTCAAGGATTTGACTCAGGATACAATTCATGGGTGAATGAATGGCTAGAATGATGTTCTAAGTTTAAATTACTGTGCTTAAGATTTAATTTAAAAAAATGCCTCTAACTTGTAAGCCCCATTTGCCCACAGACAGATAACTTCCTGGAATGCTGAGGGCTGTTATTCATGTAAGATAACAGCCATATGTTTTTGCTTTCATAAACAAGCTTGGCTGCCTCAACTACACAGGGTATGCTTGATCACACATAGGCTGAGACGGGCGGGTGGTATGTAGGCAGGAAATATGTCAGAAGGTATGCTTGCCCCTGATTGGATGAAGATGGGAAGTACATAGTCTTAGGAGTTTTGATTTTATTAGCCTGTAACTAGTGTAATTTGGTCCCATACTCTGGGAATACTGGTGTCCATTGTCCTGGCCAGTATTTAATAAAGCTTACCTCAAATATGTTTTTTTTTAAAAAATGACAATATTAACTATCACAGTGGCCAACATGCACCATAGCTATAAAGGGATAAGGGACACCAGGAGCACACACAGACATTCTCTCACTTGGCGTGAAGACAATGGGGCTTTGGTGTACCTGAAGACAGCAACTGAGGCAGGATATACAGATGACGACTAGGAGCCTATTCCAGGAAAGACGCGTATGTTTTGGCCCAGGACCAAACGTTTCTTAGCTTTTCATTCTCTGCTGTGTCTTATATCCCAGCCCATTCCCATAAAGCCAGGCTGTGCAAGCCAGGTGAGGATGGGCCCTACTGATATGGCCAGTCCCCAGGACTATGACAGTGGTAACAGTACTGGCAGATGGACCCCCATGGAGGTACTGAATCCTTTCTTGCCTCTATACCCTACAACTTGCCCAGGGGAGTGAACACTCATTACATCTCCTCTTCTCTACCTAGAGGTGCCTGAGCCCCCTCAGATGGTAGACATGGATGGACACAGCTCCCCGATGTGGACGGCATCTTTTTAAAATGAAGCTTCCAAACGGAGTCTGGGGTTGGACCCATGGCTTCACATACAAGCTCCCAAAAAAAACCAGTGATGCTCTGGCCCAGATCACATACACCCATGGGTGCAAACACATACGTGTATGCACACATGTGTGTACACACACACACACCACTGCTCATCCCCTGGGATTTATCCACCATCTACTCAGCTCTATTTCCCCCTACTCTCACACTGTGGGTGGCAGGTAAGGCTCAGTAGAGGGTTGTAATTCAGAAGCCATCATGTCTTCCCCAGGGCATCGCTCAGGCTGAACCAGGTTTGTGACCATGTCTGAAGCTCACAAAGAGGAACTGAACCACAATAGAGACTGGACCGCCACCGCTGCTTCTGCCATGGGAGCTGCAGGGGCAGAAGAAGAGGCTGGACCCTGCCTTCAGTTTAGGCAATGCGAATGGATCACATCAACCCTGACTACTCCACTCCCCATCGCTCACCTTAGAGCCAAGCTTTAAAGGCACTGGCCCAGAGCCATGTCCCTCTCATGACCCTCCTTGGCTAATGACAGAATCTCGAGTACTCCTCATCCATGATTGGGCCCATACCCTACACACTAACAAGGCCTGACGGTGGAGGCCCACCTGACATCAAAGTGCTATCTAGCACTTGCATTAGAGAAGATGTGGTCTGTGACAGGCTCCAGCTTAGGGAAAGGGTGTAGGTGTGCATCAATTGTATATGACCTGCTTGTTCTCACCACAGTTCTGAGGCAGCAAGCAAGCAGGCTCTTAGGGCTATAGTCAAGAAGAAATGTGACTGGCCAAGTTTTCCTTTGGAGGTGACCCACCCTAGAGTACAATTTCCTAGCTCAAGTCTCCTTGGTGGCCCAGCTCTTGAGGGTGTGTGAGAATCACCTCACAGCTTTTGAGCGGGTGTTGTCCCATTTGGGGCTAAGAATGACTGGAAGAAGTTGGGATATGATAGCCAGACCAAACAAGTGATCCCTATCAGGACAGAGAGGCCTGTACTAACTCTGCTGGAGTTTATGGTCTTTGGCTACTATTCCACTTTGAACATAAGAACATGTGACCTTGAATGAAACTCTCCCAGAAGTGACGGAGGTTAAGATACAGGCTGAGATATAAGACCCCACCCTCTTCCCATCTATGTCCCCCAAAGACCACGCCACATACACGCTGTTTTAGAGAACATTTATTTGAGTCACCTCCTCCAACAGATGTCAGGGACCTTTGAGAATATCCAAGCTGGACATCCATCCATTCATGTGTACTCCTGTGTAGCCATGGTCTATGTGTGTTGGGTGGGGGAGGGTGTCCCTACTGCTTCTACTATCTCCAATTTACGAGTTCAAGAGACCTTAAGCATCCATTATTGACCCAAGGAGTCAGCCCACAACCCAACACCATACACCTCTAGCTAACCCATGTGGACTCTCCCCTTGCAAGCAACCCTCCACCTCAGATGACCTCCAGCATGTATTTCATCATCCAGTTGACAAGTGTCTTCCTGAGAGTTGGGAACCCAGGTCTGGGCTAGACCTAATAGAGGTTGAAGAAGAAATGACAGCCCCTTGCCCTCAGGGAGCTCACAGTCTAGTTGGAGACTCAAGGTGCACATGTGCACACACAGCACGTATACATACACAAACACAGAAGAAACAAGCACAAGACTAAACAGCACATAATACTCAGGGGGACACCGTGTGTTAACATGAGGACTGTTGAGAAGGGGCCTGGGCTGGGTGGGCTGGGAAGCTCAGCCCTGGTGAATAAGTGGGTTTGGGGGTTCAGGGAAGAACATTTCAGAGCAGTACAGGGGAAAGCATGGCACAGTTACAGCGGGGAAGAGACAAGCTTGGCGGGTAGCTGAGGGACATGGTGAGGGCTCCTCTAAGTTAGCCAAGGAAAAGAGGTGCATGGACATTTCCAAGGTATGGATAGCGCCTCCCCATTCTCTGATCTCTTTGAGTACTCAGTGACCCCAGAATAAGGCATGGGGGGTTCAGTAAGAATTTGTAACCCAAACTGCATGGGGAATACAGGCAGTAAGATCCCCAAGACAGGAATCCAGAGGTTTCTACCAAGTCCTGATAGAAAAGAAAGCCCCTCCCCCTTTTCTAATGAATGGCTCATTCTAGGAAGGAAAGGGAGACAGTTGTGGGCTCTCAACTGACTTGCTTATATGTGAGGATGTGAGTCCTTGACCAGCAGTGGCCCAAGACCCTCACCTCCTAGTTGCACCCCTGCTTACGTAGGGAGTGCATGCAACTCCTCCACTGGCTTCTCCCACTGCTTACACCCACGGGCACCATGTGCAGGGTTCTGGTGCCCCTTTACCCTCACCTTCCCAGGTGGTACCTGCCTGGAGCTGCATGCCTGCCCAGCTAGGAGGCCCGATTGGTTGCATACGGCTAGTGGAAGCATGATTCCTTCTCCGTGGAATTGCCACAGAGAAAAATAATTTACCATCCCTTCAGCAGGCCCACCTTCCCCTGACTACTGTGCAGTCAGAGCCAAAACCAAGCAGAGGGCTCTACTGTAAAACCCTACAGCCTGTCAGACACAAAATGGCAGAAAGGAATCGAGCCCAGGAGCCAGTCGTGGGCAGTGTCTGGGAAGGGAAGCCTGCCTCCAGAAATCCAGGGTACTGTCAGATTGCAGAGAAGGGACTGGATGGAATAAAAGGGGCTCAGCCTCAGAATTCTTTATTCCCAAACAAGAGGAAACCAGGAGGAGAACGTCACACTTGTGTGGAGTAAGGATGGGAGATGGAATCCCCAGGGCTGAGGTCTTTAGGCTGGAGTCCAGAGGCTCCCGAAACTGCTTGGCACTGAGAGCCCCATGAGTATGTGAGTTCTAAGACAAGGTCCACAGCCTCCATCAGGTTTTAAAGAGCCACAAGCCCCTGAAGTGTTAACCTTTCTAGCTCGGAAAGGGCCTGGAAGCCTTCATGTGCTGTTCACATCTTGAGGGAAGTTTTGCCTCTTGAGCCAAGTCCGCCACCATCTTGCTGCAACGGTAACACAACAGTCACTCCTTTTCCTGCCCTTCGACCAAGGGCTGAACCAGGCTGGAAGAGAGAAGCCACCTCTCCCCACAGGGGCTGTCTCTGCCTCCACACCTGAGTCGAGGTCTAGGATCAGGAAGCCAAAAAAGAGGCTTGCCCAGCTGTGACTCAAGTCAGATCTGGGGAATTTTCCCACCAAGGCATGGAATCAGCCTCTAATCCCATGCTCTACCGACACAGGACACCTCCTGAGGTAGGTCTTCTGAGGAGACACGTCCTCATGCCAGGAGCCCAGGACCTGAGACTCCATTTTGAGTTTCCATGCCCAGAGGTGCCCTGCAGGTCCTGGGCCATGAGGTCCACTTCTATCTGTCCACTTTGTATCTGTCCACAGAAGCAGAAACCATGGTCAGTACATTGTAGTAACACAGCCTTGCCTACGAGCCCATCTGGACTACACGGATACATTCACCTGACCCACTCTTAAGTCTATCTCTTACCACCACTCCCCAACAAAACACTGCCAAGATTATTGGCCTGTTTACACACAACATGCCTTGGTCTCGGTACTTGAGTGACTGACTAGCTTCTGAGCTCCCAGGACCTTCTTAAATATTTCCTACCACTAAACACTATAGTCCACATTACAGTAATCACCAGGGATCTCAGGCAGAGACCAATGATTCCAGAGAAGCCACATGGCATTGAGGTGGGACAGAGAGCAAAGGCAGTGAACAGTCTCTAGCACCAAGCACAGGCGTAGCTGGAAGCAAGGGCTCGGGAAACAGAGGCCCGCTCAGAGGCCCCAGCATCCTAACTTCAAACGCACCTGTTAAACCCAGTGATGCCCTGCCCACGAGGGCCTATCACCTGGCCCCTAGCCACAGGCCCATATTCTCCCAGCTGCACTTTAACAACAATTCAACAAGAAAGCTAAAGGGTTTTCAGGTCTAAAATGGAAAAACAAAGCCCAGACTTGGTACTGTAGTAACACTAATTATTTGCTGTAATTTGGAACAAGTTTGAGCAAGTCTTGGTTTCCTTGTTTGTCAAATGGCAGAAAAGGGCAGCACCTCAGTGTGACAACTTGTAGGCATGTGTCTTAAAGCAAGCCCTAGCTAGCATTCTTATCAGAAGGCCTTGGTCATCTCGGCTGAGGCCTCCCTTCTCATTATTTGAATGAACCTCCAGGCTCTCTGCAGACATCTCCCCTCCCAGGGCCTCTGTTCTCATTCTGAATCACAGGTCAGTGTTCACCTCGCCTCCGAACACTGTCCTTTGTGGAACAAATGATAGCCCTTGATGTCCTGAAGCCATCCTTCCGCACCCCAACTCCTCCTACAGCAATTCTGTCTCTCTAGGACTCAGTACAAAGCCACAAAAGCCCCTTAGGTGAAGCCAGTCGCCATCCCAACGCAGAGCAGGCTGTCCCAACTGTAGCCTGTATCTCTATGCAGACACCTTGACACCCTGTCACAGGCATGAGTATGGGCTTCTAAGTGCCTGGGCCTGGGGGGGGGGTCCCACCAAGAGTGGAGCTGAGCACAACCCAGAACTAATTAGTACAACTCTCCAGACAAATGGCTTCACCTTCTGATAACAGTGAAGCCCCATGGCACCCCGGGGAAGAGGAAAAGTCATCTTCCATCTCCAACTTACAGATAAGCAAACTGAGACATGGAGTGAAATGGCTTCTCGAGGCCATCAGGCAGTGGGTGCAGGAGGCTGAGGCTTTGGGGACCGAGCTTGGGTCTGGGAACCGTGGCAAGTGGCCCTCTCCAAGTCGCTTTCAAGTCTGACATGCTGGGAATGAAGATCAGGTAAGAAGCAAGCCAAGGAGACCAACACAAGCTCCACCTCCTCCCCAGTCCTGATCTAGACAGCCAACACTACACACCCACTCCCCACTCCCACCACCCTCACACCTCAGGGGACTCTGGCCAACCCTCTGGGTCTCACCTGCTCTAGGCAGCCGGAAGAGGCAAACTAATGCAGGTGCCCAAAGCGGATACATGCAGCCAGCCAAGGGATCCAGGGGAAGGAAGAAAAACTTTCAACATCCTAAGCTGGTCCCGGCCTCCTCCCAGGAGCCCATCCAGCCAGGAGACTGCAACTCAGCACCCTTGGATGTGGCTTCTGGATCGGAGGCAGCTGGTGGTGGCAGGTCTCCCACCGGTCATAGCACATGGCTCAAATGGGCCGCTTGGCTCTCAGGCCCGTGGCCATGGCTGCGCTGGTGGGTCTTGAGCGAGCCCTCACGCGCGAAGCTCTTGCCGCAGCGAGGGCAGAAGTAGGGTCGCCGCTCCCCGAAGACGCCAGGACGGCGCGGGTGCGGCGTGGGCATGCGCGCGTGGGTGCGCTGGTGGTTGAGCAGGAAGCGCGGCTCGCGGAAGCAGCGACCGCACTGCGCGCACTGGTGCGGCTTCTCGCCGCTGTGGATGCGCTGGTGCGTGAGCAGGTTCTGCTTGAGGCTGAAGCAGCGGCCGCACTCCGGGCAGGGAAAGGGCCGCTCGCCAGTGTGCGTGCGCTGGTGCACCTCCAGATTGTGTTTGACGCTGAAGGCCTTCCCGCACTCGGGACACACGAAGGCGGCTGCGCGGCCAGCCCCCACGTGCGCCTTCTGGTGCCTCACCAGGCTGGGCTGCTGGGAGAAGGTCTGCCCGCACAGTGGGCAGCGGTGGCACTGTTCCTCCGCGGGGTGGTGGATAACCAGGCCTTGATCGTCCCCCAGACCCTCCTCCCCGTCCCCTGTAGGGGACCCTCCCCTGGAGGACACCAGCTCTGTCATGGGCACTTCCAGATGCAATCACCAGCCCCTGGAGAAGCAGAAGCGGAGAAAGGAATCAAGGAAGATCCCAGGGTCAGCTATTCTCCAGTCTGAGGAATCACTCACTTCCCACAACCTCCAGTGTTTGCCCATCTACAGTTTTGTTTTGTTTCATCACAGTCTGTCATCCCGGGCTCTTCTTAAGAGCCACTTCCTTCCAGAAGTCTTCCCTGGCCTCTCCAGCATCCTCTTCAAAGGTCTGCTGCCCTATGACCTGTATCATCACCCTGGAATAACCTCAAGAACAGAGCTACCTTCTGTTACAAGACACATCAAGCCCTGTGCCTTTGACATACAAGATATGGGCTAAAAACTGCTGGAAAATTCTCAGGAGCACTTTCTCTAGTTAGATGTGCAAGCATAGGAGGTGACCCAAAACCTTCAGGAAGGAAGGTCACCAATAGCTTAAAGCAGGAAATAAAATAACACACACCCCTCACTTGAAAGTGACCTCCCTGGGTTAACCATTAAAAGTAGTTCGGCTGCTTAACAAGATGAATCATACCATACAGTTTGAAAAGCTGCAGGCCACTGAACCAAAGCAAGAGCTCCCGAGGAGACAGGCCTGGTCCAAAGGGTGACCACCATACTCATCACTCCACCACTGGCTCCCAGCGTGCCTGGTGTAAAGATTGTCTTCCCAGACCACTGTGCCTCTCTGAAATAGTTCCCCACTGCCCTCACAACATCCTTGAACAAAGAGAACAGCGTTCCTGAGCCCAGGTTTGTAAATAGAACGTTTGAAGCTGGGTGAAACCAACATACTTGTCCAAGGTCACACAGCAAGGTGAGCCAGGGCTAGGCCCTAAGACTCCTGACTCACTGTTGAAATTGAAAATGTTTCAATATACCATCTGCTCAACAACTAAACATCCCTTGACACACACATGCCTACCAACACCCCAGCCACCACAAACCCATTCATTCTCAAAGGGTCACCGCCCCTACAGGGCATGGTGACTTGCTATCACTCCCATGCCTAGTAGAGCAACTGGGACCCACTCCATTCACTCCCTCCATCAGAAAAACTTGTTTAGGATTCCCTTCAAACCTCCCTTCAGGTCTTCTCCATACTTCCAGCCTCAGTCAATCAACCTGCAGGGTGGGAGTCTCAGAGACACCCTCTGTCTTCCCCTACCTTCAGGCCAGGGTGGAATTGGCACTCACCCTGGGGAAAAGGATTAGAACCCATTGCCCTGAAGCTCCACCCATAATCCCTCCCCAGACATCTGTGCTGGCATTTGCAAAGACAGACCCATCAAAGTCTCCTTGGCCAATCTGAGCCTGGTTCTGTCATTGGGCAATCTCCCCACTTTCCCTACTAGACCTCTGACCAGGGCCCGGAGGGTCTAAAGCCATGGTTTTCCATCCCTCCCCCCAAGTTCCTCCATCAGGCGCCACACTCACAGCCCAACCTGCTCCCCTTCTGCAGTCTGCAGCAGCTTTTTCCTCAAGAGTCTGAGCGGACCAAGGAAAAAACAGTTAAGTCTCCCGCAGCGCTGCGCCCTTCTTCCCCGCCCCCATAAAGCCGAAAAGCCTCCTGCCGCGCTGGTCTGGTCAAACCCCTGCATTAATTCCAAGAGCTCACCCCACCCAGCGTGACTCTCACAGCTTTGTCAGTTCAGGGGTCCGAGAAATGTGACAAGCTGTGCATCGCAACCCCACCCCTAGGAACATAGATAGGCCGCCACTCAGCTTCCGAAGCCCACCCTGTTGGGCTGCCAGCCCCAGCACCCGGAGGAATGCATGCAATCCACCCACCCCCGTGCCCGCAGCGCCCCCCGCGGGACCGCGGGATCCTGAGTAAACAAGTAATTAAGTCGCGGCGCTGCCACTCCCAGAAAGGACTTGCACAGCTCCAGGCAAATACGGTAGCAGTGACCCGGCATCAAGGGTCCCCCACTGGCCTCGATAAATACGGTAACCTCCCTCCTGATCTTGGGCGCTAGCCTGGGACTCACGTGGCGCCTCCTCCGGAGCCCTTGCCTCTGCTGCAGCGCCGCAGTCGCCAGCTTCGTCGCAGCCGCACAGCAGCCCCGTGAGGCTGGGAGGTCTAATGCGCCAACCACCTGGCTGGCGGGAGAAAGGGAGGCAGAGAGCGCTGCGCCTGCCCGGGAAAGAAAAGGGTCCAGATTCTGGAGACAGCGTTGCCTTGCAGGAGGAGTCACCCCAGTGTCCCGACAACCCCATCCCCGGCCATCCTTTGTGGAGGAGCAAGGTCTTCCTCTCACTCATCCCTCGGCAGAAGCAGGCTAGCTAGGCTTTGGACGTACCCCAGTTCCTGGAATCCGGCTGGAACTCTGGGACCAGTACACTTTTCCGGAGGAGCAAGAAGAGAAAGAAGCAGGGGACCCAGTAATGGAGTCTCAGAGTTAAAGCTCCAGAGAATCCCTTCTTGTGGACTATTGTGATCAAGCCAAAGCTGTCCCCTAAATGGACTGTTTGTAATCCCCGGAGAAGTCAGGCATGGTGGCATGCATTTAATCCCAGCACTTAAATCAGAGGCAAATCTCTGGCGTTCGAGGCCGGCTTTATCTACCGACTGACTTCCATGCAGACCAGTGCTACAGCAAGGCTCTGTCTCAAATGAATGGATAAATAATGGGTGAATGAGCGAGCAAGCGAGCGAGTGCACAGAAGCAGCAGGTGTGAGAGGTAGCACCAAATTCCGGGTTTCCACTGCCCTTTAATATAAATACCCCTTCCCTGTCCATGTCCTTGTTTTATATACCTCCATTTCCCATGTATTAGCTCATGGAAACTTCCAATTAACCATTTGCATCTATAAAACATTGTTATGAGCCCGTTTTATAGATGAGAAAAGACTTTTACAACGAAATCCAAGGTGGCTTCCTCTAACACCCACAACTTTAAAAGTGGCGAAGGTCACATAAGAAATCTACCAGGATGGATGTTTAACCATATCAGGGCCAGTTATGAGTTCCTATGGCATACACTACTTGACCTCTGACAGACATACTTCCTCCAGATCCAGCTCCTTCTGCAGGAATTGTCAACTGCTGGGGGGGGTGGGCTCATCTCTTAAGCAGGATACAGGAAAAATGGGGACACTTAGGGAAGATCAAGGTTTTCAAAAGCAAATAGAGTAATATGTAGAGGGACAGGACTGTACCCTTAACAGCATTTTCTAGGTAAGCTATGCCAGTATGAAAAAGGAAAGCACAGCCGTGAGCAGAGATGGGAGACAGGGGATGCCAACCAAAACCCTATGTCTCTGAGGGGAACAACAGGGGTGAAGGCCGAATTCCAGCTGAGTCACTTCTGTTCTTCCATTCCACATGCAAGCACCTGTCCCCAGCCCAAGCCCTTCTTCATGTGCTGTGGCACACACAACAGCATGACAATGTGACAACATTCTACAGACACAGCTGTGTTTGCTTATCCAGGCAGGACAGTGGCCCACATGTGGCCACCAACATCATGTAAGAGTCACTAAGCAGCTGGAGCCTACCCAAGGCCTGTGAATTCTTTCTGCATGGGTGAGACAGCTAACACGGCAAGCCCTGCTCAGGCCTTGTGCTGCATTCACTCCTAGGTACACCAGACAAACATGTGGCTCCAGAATATTCCTGAGGCTCCTACAGATCACTATGCTGGCTGTCTTTGAGCACCACCTGCACAGGAATAAATCTCCAGGATTTCCATCTCTCCTTTCTTTCCAAGAGGTCTTTCTCTCCCCAGATATCAGCTCATGGTCCCCCACTACATCAAACTGTCTGGTTGCAAATTTCCAAGAGCAGGGACTGCGATTTTAGCATCCCTGGCCCTCCAAGAGTCTGCTGTGATGAATCTTTTTCACTGTCTTCTCAGTGAAGAAGACATGCTTACATGGACATCTGACATCTCCGTGGGCAGCCGTCGTGAGAAAGGAATGAGATGCCACAAGCTAAACTGCAGATCCAGCTACAAGTTAGAGGGGTGTTGGGGGCTGAGGGGACCTGAGTATAGAAGTAGGGCTCTGTTTGTGAGGTGTCAACTCTTGTTCCAAAGTTCTTTCTTCACCATTAAAGTCCAAGACGAGACTTAGAACATCAATTCAGCCACACTTTTTTAAACACATGGCATAAGAACTGACAGTGGAGAATTGGCTCATCCCAGCTACCACTGAGAAACAATACACCCCTCCCTTCAGCAGTGATTCTCAACCTTTAATACAGTACATGTAGTGGTGACCCCAGCCCTATATGCTACTTCATAACTGTAATTTTGCTACTGTTGTGAATTGTAACATAAATATCCGATATGCAGGATATCTGGTCTGCAGCCCCAAAGGGGTCGTGACCCACAGGTTGAGAACGGTTGCTTCAAAGGCTCAAGGATTGATCCACTGATGGATTTATTTTTTTTCCCACCCTGTGGCACATATCTGTAATCCCAGCATTCCTTTTTTTAAAATTTTTTGTCAAATCATAATTAATTCACACAGCGGTATAAACACAGAAAGGCAGGATGTGGGGAAGGGAATGACACTGGAGTGTGGGTGTTCAGGGGGAATACAGATATCTTCAGAACCGGGTATCGGCTGGGTGAAGGTTCAGGGGACAAGTCACTATGACTCTGCCTATGACTCGCTTGTCCTTATCTAAGTTGGTATTGTCTGCCAAGGCTACCTATTTACAAGGTCTATGACTCCTCAGGCTTATAAATTTCCACAAAAGCTGACTGTTTACATTAGCTTATAGCCATCTGTTTCAATGTTTTTCCACTGAGACCCAAGACTTGGTGTTAGTGTACATGTATGACAGGCCTATTGCTGATTTTAGGCCTATGGCTGATTTTAGGCCTTCAGTGTGTAAGCAGGGCTGCCCTTGACATCTCCTCCCTTCTCTAAGTATAAAAGGGGTGTGGCAATTCTAAACTTGTGAAGGCGGGGATAGAGGCCTGACCTCCAGTATTTGAAGGGGACCTTGTAATGGCTCCAGTCCCCCTGTCGTTGTCCAGTGAGGCATGAGGGCCATACCCATCCCGATGTCTTTTTCCTGGAGAGGGGATACTTTTGACATCAACCCCTATGCAGTCAGGCTTGTCCCTCAAGGAACCCAGATAGATATTTTTATCTTTTATTGATATTCCCTTGCAGTGCACTGATGGATTTATATGACGGAACGTTGGAGGCGGGGCCTTGTTGGAGGAATAGGCCTTTGGGTGGGAGGGATCTCATGAATGATACACCTTGTCCCTGATTCTTTTCTGTCTTTCTGCTTCCTGGCTGCCTTAAGATGAGCAGCCTCCTTTGCCAGACACTCCTACCACCATGATATTCTGTCACCTCAGACCCAGAGAGATAGAGCCAGGTAAGCAAGGACTGAAACCTACCACGCCCTTAAGATAGGACCACCGTTGTTGTTCTCAGGTATTCGCACAGCAACAGAAAAACAGAGTAATGCAGTTCCTCATAGAGACGGAACCCAACAGGGAAAGTAATTCTCTCCCCTTTCTGTAGTGTGATTGCTCTTCAGGTTCCCACACATCCATGAAGCTTATTCGAATCATAGTGGCAGCTTCCTAAGGAGTGCTTGCTGTGTGCTTCACCTGCCAAGGTCCCAGAGCCTCAACCCCAGAGCTGTAACTCTATCCTTGATTGACAACAAAACCCCACCTTTTTCTACATTTGGGCTGTGGGTAAAGGGTGGAGGAAGGCGTGGGAGAAGGCAAGGCATCTAGGGTTTTGCCAATAGAAGCCTCATTACTACGAGAGTGCATTATTGCCTCATGTAGCTGTTACATAAAACTCAAACTGAAACTCGGGAACCCTGCGTGTGCGTGTGTGTGTGTACATGCGCACAATGCCCACTAGGTGTACTTAGTTACTTTTTTGTTTTTGAAAAGGGACCTATATGGACCAACTCTGCCAGCTTTTCCACCAAGCCTCCATGAACAAAGATTTGATTTCT